CAGCCAAAAGGGAACAAATTGTGTTTCTGGATGACCAGTTCATGCGCAGGTAAGCAAATCACAACATTGATGTTATTTCCGTTGAACAAATTTGAAATTATCGACGTCCCTTTTCTAGCGAAAATCCTTTCCTATATACATATGATCGTTTACCCTTAAGAAACTGTCTTCCTTCCTCTGACACCGTAGCTATGGCCCCTTCCTCCCTCGAAAGCTGACCCTCCCTCTGTTTAACCTTTTAAGTCGATTGCACACGAATGCGAAAAACGGCCTTCAGCAAAATGGCCGTTGTATACTGCCCCAGTACACCCGTTCTGCTCTCTTGCTTACTACTACCTTTTCACATGACGCGGGCGCTCTTCTGTTGACGCCAGAGACAGTCGTTTCGCCTCCTGAATAATGGAGGCCCCTGAAGTGAATTTTCAGCTGTCCATCCCCCTTTTGACCCAGTTAGCCGCGAACAACTCAGAGAACCACCGGACCACTACTCCTCATGGGCACGCTGCGCGCAAGATAGACGCGGCCGTCGAAGGGCCAATTCAACACCCCCAGCCGCTGCCAATTTCATATTGCCTCGGTTCGCAAAGTTCTCCATTTTCGCGCTGGAGTTTTAAACTAAAAGGATGCCGCATGAACGGCCGCCCGAAGTCACAAAAGCTCGTCGGACGCTCCTTCTCCTAATACCACACACATGCTCTCCCAAGGCCGGTTTCGCCTTGCGTGGCATTAGTGTTGAATTTGTGATGTTCCCTTGTCTAGAGTCAGGCTATTTGGCTGGCTTCATTTGTTCTTGACAGTCTGCATGCATTGTTGAGGTTTGTACTTCATTTATCTTTTATTATTTGTTTATAGATATTGTCATTGGGAATTGACATACACTCTGGGACTAGATACTGCGTTTAGAGGTGCGATATATCCGAAATAATACCGCTACCAGAAAAATAAGCTTGGTAGTTCTTTCTGAAAGGTGCAAGCCCTCATTTAAACATTTCGCTATCCTCCCCTCTCTGCAATAGTTGAAATACAGGAAATGCAAGAATTGAAGCAAGTGCTGGTTTATATTTCTGAATGTGTGCGTTATACGGCTTGTTTCTCGGTTCAAGTACATGGCTGTAATTACTTGATACATATTCATTTTATTTTTGCCAGCAGTTCTTCATTCATATTTAGAAAAGTTTTGACATAACAATTTCAGGGCTTGACGTGAGTGTAACGCTCAT